GGTTTGCAACAAACTCACTGCCATCCACGACCTCTTTGTCTCCCGCTCCCTTAAACTCCTAGCGATCACCGAAACCTGGATCCAAGCCACTGACTCTACCTCCCCTGCGGCACTCTCCTATGGAGGTCTCAATCTGGACCCACTTACCCAGACCCAGCGGTCGAAAAGGTGGTGGGGTTGGTATGCTCCTGTCACTGCAGAGCACCTTCCAAGTCCTCCCAAACCCTCCCTCTCTATCCTTCTCCTCCTTCGAGGCCCACTGCATCCGACTATTCTCTCCAATCCCTCTGAGGATTGCAGTAATCTATCGGCTTCCTAGACCCGCGTCCCGCTTTCTCGACGACTTCTCCGCCTGGCTACCCTTTTTTCTCCTCCAAACTACCCACCATCATCCTTGGTGACTTCAACATCCCTATCAACATCAATAACCCGGCTACATCCCAACTCCTCCACTTAACCTCTTCTTTTGCACTCACACAGTGTATACAGTCCACCACCCATTCCGACGGGAACACCCTGGACCTTGTTTTCTCTCATCTCTGCACTCCCCACGACCTCACAAACACCCCCTTTCCTCTCTCCGATCACAACCTCATCACCTTCTCCTCGTCCTCAAACACCTATCCCTCCAAACGTCAAACTATCACCAGCAGAAACCTCCGCAACTTGAACCCTGCCCCTTTCCACTCTGCAGCTGACCAACTTTACGACAGCATCCTTACCCTGTCCTGCCCTGACCTGGACACTACTGTTTATAACAACTTGCTATCAGCCGCTCTAGACTCGCTAGCACCACCAACTACACGAAGCATTAGACCCCGACTGCTATAACCCTGGCAGACTGACCATACCAAAAATCTCAAATGACGCAGTCGTGCGCTGGAGCGACTATGGCGCAAAACCCGATCCCAACAAGCGTTCACCCGATATAAATCTGCCTTCCTCACCTACATTTCCTCCCTTCATGCTGCCAAGCAAGCCTACTTTGCACCCTCATTAATACCTTCTCCTCCAGTCCTCGCCGGCTCTTCTCTACTTTTAACTCTCTACTCTCTCCGCCCCCACCTCCACCCAGTACTCACCGCCCACGAGATTGCTAACCACTTCAAAAACAAGATCGATGCAATTCGTAGGGACATTGCCACTGCTCAGACTTCCATCCCACCTAGCATCCCTCACACGAAAACCCCCTCATCACTCCTCTCCCTCGACCTCGCCACTGCCCAGATTTCAACCCCACCTAGCATTCCTCTCACTAAAACCCCCTCAAGACTCCACTCCTTCGACCTTGCTACCACTGAAGAGGTCACTAAGCTCTTCTCTGAAGCCCACCTCACCACCTGCCCCCTTGACCCTGTCCCCTCACAACTCCTACGATCACCCTCCTCCTCCATCCTACGCTCCCTCCATCACATCTTTAATCTTTCCCTCTCTACTGGCACTTTCCCCTCCCCTCTAAAACACGCGCACATCACTCCCATACTTAAAAAACCCTCCGTGGATCCCACTGACCTGAAAAACCTTAGACCCATCTCCCTGCTGCCATTTACATCCAAACTCCTAGAGAGCTTAGTCTATAATCACCTGAGTTCCCACCTCACCGACAACAACCTCTTTGATCCCCTACAGTCTGGCTTCCGCCCCTACACTCCACCGAAACTGCCCTACTCAAACTCACCAACGACCTGCTAACCACCAAAGCTAATGGCCACTATTCAGTGCTCCTACTCCTCGACCTCTCCGCGGCTTCCGACACGGTTGACCACCCCCTCCTCCTCAAAAAACTACACTGTCTTGGCCTCAGAGACTCCGCTCTCTCCTGGCTCTCTTCCTATCTATCACAGAGCTCCTTCAGTGTTACCTATAACGCTGCCACCTCCTCTTCACTCCCCCTCTGTTGGGACCCTCAAGGTTCTGTCCTCAGACCCCTTCTCTTCTCCATCTACACCTCCTCCCCTGGCCAATTGATACACTCTCACGGCTTCAACTACCATCTCTATGCCAACAACACGCAAATCTATCTCTCTACCCCTCACCTCACCCCCTCAGTCTCCACCCGTATCTCAAGCCTACTGAACGACATATCGGATTGGATGTCAAACCACTTCCTCAAACTAAATCTTTCCAAAACCGAGCTCCTAGTTTTCCCCCAGCCCGCGCCCCCCCCCTTCCACATCAAGAAAAACACCACCATCAGTCTCACCCCGCAAGCCAGAGTACTAGGTATCATCCTAGACTCCAATCTGTCCTTCCAGCCCCAGGTCCAATCACTGACAAACTCATGTAGACTTCACCTCCGCAACATCTCCAAAATACGTCCGTTCCTAACCTCGGAAACCACTAAGCAACTCATTCATTCCCTCATTATATCACGCCTCGACTACTGCAACTCCCTCCTCATTGGCTTACCTCACCACAGGCTATCCCCGCTTCAGTCTATCCTGAATACTGCGGCCAGACTCATCCACCTTACTAACCACTCCGTATCCGCCACCCCCCTCTGCCAATCCCTCCACTGGCTTCTGATTGCCCAACGGATAAAATTCAAAATGCTAACATTGACGTACTAAGCTGTTCATAATACTGCCCCAAACTACATCACTGATGTGGTATTCAAATACCACCCAAAACGTACTCTCCGCTCCTCACAAGACCTCCTGCTCTCTAGTTCCCTGGCCTCCTCCTCCCATGCCCATCTCCAGGACTTCCCCCATCCTCTGGAACTCCCTACCCCAATCCATCAGACTACCACCTACTCTCCTCACCTTTAGGCGCACTCTGAAAACCTACCTCTTCAGGGAAGCCTACCCCGCCCTCAGCTAATTAACAATCTCCTCCACTTTCCTACCACTCCATCCCCCACAGCTATTTCCTCCTGTACCACTATCCCCTCCCTCCTAGATTGTAAGCTCAAAGGAGCAGGGCCCTTGAACCCCTCGTGTATTGAATTGTATTGTTACTGTACTGTCTCTCATTATAATGAACAGTGCTGAGCAAACTGTTGGCGCTATATAAATCCTGTATAATAATATAATAATAATCTCACTGTGAGCTACAGTATGTGGGGAACATGTGAGACACATGGGGGAAGGAGATTTGCATCAGTCAGGGAGGGTAAAGAACATTTTTGTTTGTTTTTTTTACTTTATAAGGCTTTTGCATCACACATAGTAAATGGATTTGGTACTTTTTAAGACTGTCATACAGCAGTCTTTGTACTTTAGGAAAATCCATGACAGATACAACTGCCAAGCATCAACCCACACCTCAAAAATCAATAAAGGCTGGGCTATCCCTTTAAAACGTATTTATCTGGCATTGTCAAGTTAAACAATTCCCAGTCCTTCATTGCTGGGATAGCTATGCTGCTCGGAAAAAATATTCATAGTGCTAACAGAAAGACATTAAAGATGACTTGACAGTTTACAGGATCTAAAGACAGACTCAACATCCTTTCACCACCCCCATAAGGCTTCTGTGATTGACTCAGCCATAACCTCTTCCTAATCCAAACAGTAGACATATCTATGGCGCAAGAAGGCAATATTGCTCATTAAAACAGAAGAATTATGTAATTTATTTCAATGAATTCCTGTTTACATAACAACTACATTATATGGTGGGATTGACTGATGCAGTCAGTTATGTAATCACAGGACTAGTCATCAACAAGAAAAAAAGAACATTTTTGGAAATAAACTTGTGTTTCTGTGCACACTTCAAATTTTAATGCGACACTGACACCTATTCAACCAGGTAGAACTCAAAGTGACCTGCTAAAGAACAAGGTTAAAGAGTAACTCCACTTTTGTTAAGCAAAAAACATTCCCCTCTGGGTGAACCCTCCAGAAGGTTTACCCCCCTTCATGACCAAGGCATTTTTTGCTATATAGCGCTGTGTTATTTTAACTAACAATTGCCCGGTCATGCAACACTGTACATAAATGAAATTTAAGTCATCTTTTCCCCACAAATAGAACTTTCTTTTGGTAGTATCTGATCACCTCTGAGTTTTTATTTTTTGCACTATAAACAAAAGAAAACTGACAATTTTGAAAAAAAAAAAAAAACAACTGTTTGGAACATTCTTAAAAAGAAGGAACGCACCGGTGAGCTCAGCAACACCAAAAGACCCGAAGACCACGGAAAACAACTGTGGTGGATGACCGAAGAATTCTTTCCCCGGTGAAGAAAACACCCTTCACAACAGTTGGCCAGATCAAGAACACTCTCCAGTAGGTAGGTCTATGTGTCTCAAAGTCAACAATCAAGAGACGACGTCACCAGAGTGAATACAGAGGGTTCATTACAAGATGTAAACCATTGGTGAGCCTCAAAAACAGAAAGGCCAGATTAGAGTTTGCCAAACGACATCTAAAAAAAGCCTTCACAGTTCTGGAACAACATCCTATGGACAGATGAGACCAAGATCAACTTGTACCAGAGTGATGGGAAGAGAAGAATATGGAGAAGGAAAAGAAGTGCTCATGATCCTAAGCATACCACCTCATCAGTGAAGCATGGTGGTGGTAGTGTCATGGCGTGGGCATGTATGGCTGCCAATGGAACTGGTTCTCTTGTATTTATTGATGATGTGACTGCTGACAAAAGCAGCAGGATGAATTCTGAAGTGTTTCTGGCAATATTATCTGCTCATATTCAGCCAAATGCTTCAGAACTCATTGGACGCCGCTTTACATTGCAGATGGACAATGACCCAAAGCATACTGCAAAAGCAACCAAAGAGTTTTTTAACCTCTTGCCGACCGCGCATAGCCGAATGACGGCTTCACCGCGGCCGGCCAGTTCTGAGTGGACGTCATATGACGTCCTCCCAGAACGCGCTCTCCTGCGCGCCCCAGGGGGCGCGCACCCGGCGATCTCCGTGATCGCTGTGTCCTACGGACACAGCTGATCACGTGATGTGGTGAAAGGCCGATCCCACCGGCCTTTTACCACGTGATCAGCGGTGTTCAATGACACGCTGATCACAGGGAAATGCAAGTGCCGGTTCTCGGCTGCACTTTCCTCACGCTGTCAGATCGTGAGGAAAGTACTGCCGAGAACCGGCAGTTGTCAGAGCGGGGATCGGCACCGACCATCAGGGCACTGATGATCAGTGCCCTGATGATCGGTGCCCAGCAGTGACACCCGCAAGTTCCGCCCAGCAGTGCGCCCACTAGCCCCGCCCACCCGTTCCCAGCAGTGCCCCCACCTGTGCCCAGCAGTGCACCCACCTGTGCCACTCTGCAGTGCCACCTACCTGTGCCCAGAAGTGCCACCTACATGTGCCCAGCAGTGCCACCCACCTGTGCCCACCCACCTGTGCCCACCAGTGCCACCCACCTGTGCCCAGCAGTGCCACCCACCAGTGCCACCCACCAGTGCAGCCCAGCAGTGCTGCCAGTCAGTGCCACCAGTCAGTGCCCAGGGGTTGTGCCAGTCAGTGCCGCCAGTCAGTGCCCAGAAGTGATGCCAGTCAGTGCCGTCTATCAGTACCCATCATCAGTGTCACCTATCAGTGCCGCCTATCAGTGCTGCATATCAGTGCCGCCTATCCGTGACCCCTAATTAGTGCTGTCTATCAGTGCCGCCTATCCGTGCCACCTCATTAGTACTGCCTATCAGTGCCCTTTAGTGCTGCCTATCAGTGCCCATCAGTGCCGCCTATCAGTGCCCATCAGTGCCGCCTCATCAACGCAAATCAGTGAAGGAGAAAAAATACCTGTTTGAAAAATTTTATAAAAGAAACAAACTTTTTTTTTTTTTCAAATTTTTTGCACTTTTTTTAATTTATAGCGCAAAAAGTAAAGCGCCCAGTGGCGATTAAATACCACCAAAAGAAAGCTCTATTTGTGAGAAAAAAATGATCAAAATTTCATATGGGTACAATGTTGCATGACCGCGCAATTGTCAATCAAAGTGCGGCAGCGCTGAAAGCTGAAAATTGGCCTGGTAAGGAAGGGGGTATAAGTGCCTGGTAGGCAAGTGGTTAAGGGAAAGAAGTGGAATGTTATGCAATGGCCACGTCAATCACCTGACCTGAATCCGATTGAGTATGCATTTCACTTGCTGAAGACAAAACTGAAGGGAAAATGCCCCAAGAACAAGCTGCAGTTGCAGTAGAGGCCTGGCAGAGCATCACCAGGGATGAAACCCAGCGTCTGGTGATGTCTATGCGTTCCAGACTTCAGGCTGTAATTGACTGCAAAGGATTTGCAACCAAGTATTAAAAAGTGAAAGTTTGATTTATGAATACTATTCTGTCCCATTACTTTCGGTCCCTTAACAAGTGGGAGGCACATATGCAAACTGTTGTAATTCCTACACCGTTCACCTGATTTGGATGTAAACACCCTCAAATTAAATCTGACAGTCTGCAGTTAAAGCACATCTTGTTCGTTTCATTTCAAATCCATTGTGGTGGTGTATAGAGCCACAAATGTTAGAATTGTGTCGATGTCCCAATATTTATGGACCTGACTGTATATTAAATGGTTTGTGTGAAAGTTATAGTGTCTACAAATGGTGGTATATATACTGGAATTTTATTTATTTCTATACTAGTAATGGCAGCAATCAGCAACTTATAGCAGGGCATTACAATAATAAAAAAAACCTCAGAGCAATCACCCTAAAACAGTGCAAACTAATGAAAGAAAAAAATATCTAAAAGCTGTATATAACTGATGTTCGTGCTGCTGCTCACACTTTTTGTGTTCCCACAGAAAACAACAAAAAATAAGTATAGGTGATTCAGTGGCGCATAGTGCCAAATCTTCCTAGTGGTAAATGCTCATGTGCCGTGCAATATCACATAAAATCATATAATAAAGTGAATTAGGTGGACATGCGTATATCCTATGAGTTTATGTCCAAACATAGAACATACCTAGAACATATGCGTTTATGTCATCACAATATATCTAGAACAAGAACTAAACTGAATCTTATAAGAAGGTATGTTCAGTGGACATGCATGTATCATATGCATATATGTCAAAACACAGAATCATGCGTAAAATATATGCATTTAACTCATCACCATAGATCTGAAACAATCCACACCCATAACTGCAAAAGATAAACAAAACGCATAAAACTAGATCTTATATTAAATTATGTTCAGTGGACATGTATCATATGCGTATTTATATTGTAGTCCCTGACCCTTTCCAAAAAAACGCACAGGTGTGAACATGTCCCATAGGAAATCATGTTAAATGGGCTGTACTGCGTTTCTGCAAAATGTGGCAGAAAACGCTTAAGTGTGAACCTGGGGTAAAGCTGGTCACACATTTGGAGATTTTCATACAAACATTTATATGAAAATGCTCAATACATTTTATGACTTGCCGAATGTCGTTGAAAAGTGCTTCAAAATTTCATTTGCTTTTACCATTCGACTTTGGAATGCATGGACTTTCCAGAATGAAAATAATTTGCTTGAGCAGAATTTTCCATCGTGCTTATCAGCATCAGTTTGACCCCACCAATGATCAGAAAATCGAACGCTCTTCAAGTGACAAATTTTGAACAGAATTCTACTAGTGTATGGCCAGCTTAACTCCTTGAAGAATCCAATAAGAGGCAGCTAAAATAGGCAGTAGCTGCTCAGTCTACCTGAATAGATCCTCCAGCTGGTGTCTGGTCTCTCCAGCAGGGACGGGTCTGGAAGGGGTTCCTGTTAATTACTAGCAGGTGATGCAAGCGGCAGGCCCCAGCGGGAGAACATGGCACTGAGCTGCCTGACACAGCACTGCATCCTCATTCTTTAATTAAACGCTCATTAACTCAGCATCCTCTAAGGTTTTATCTGTAGAAGGCGAACACTGTAACACATTCTGTTATCTGACGGCAGTTTCTCGCTCTGCTGAAAAGAACTAACCAGGAAATATGGAGCAGCCCTGCACTAGAGAATCTACAACAGGAGAGTTTCCTTACTCGTTCTTCTCTGATCAGTTTGTTTCCAGAGAATGCAGAATAAAGCAAAAATATGAAAAATTCTGCCTGCTTAATTACTGTAAAAGGGTTCTACAGCAAATCCTGTGTGTAAGCATGAGAAAGAATCTGTCACTTTGCTCCTCCATAGCTAGTTGTAATGGGCATCGTCTTCACTCCCAGCAGCTGAATGGAGCGAAAACAAGGTGAGTATGCGCTGCTAGGATCAGGTTTAAGGGCTACAGTTGCAAGAAAAAGTATGTGAACCCCTTGGGATTACGTGGAGTTTTGCATGAATTGGGCATAAAATGTGCTCTGAACATCATCTAAGTCACAACAATAGAAGAACACAGTCTGCTGAACATAATACTACACAAACATTAGATGTTGCCATGGTTTAATTGCACATAACATGTAAACATTCACAGTGCAGGGAGGAAAAAGTATGTGAACCTTTGGACTTAATAACTGGTTGACCCTCCTTTGGCAGCAAGAACCTCAACCAAACGTTTCCCGTAGTTGCAGATCAGACCTGCACAACGATCTGGAGTAATTTTGGACCACTCCTCTTCACAAAACTGTTTCAGTGTAGCAATATTCTTGGAATGTCTGGTGTGAATCGCTCTCTTAAGGTCATGTCACAGCATTTCAATCGGGTTGAAGTCAGGACTCTGACTGGGCCACTCCAGAAGGCGTATTCTGTGCTGTTGCAGCCATTGTTTTGTTGAATTACTTATATGCTTTGGATCATTGTCCTGTTGCATCACCCATCCTCTGCGGAGCTTCAGTTGGCAGACAGATGGTCGTACGTTTTCCTGCAAAATGTCTTGATAAACTCTGAAATTCATTTTCTCATCAATGACAACAATCCGTCCAGGCCCTGAGGCAGCAAAGCAGCCCCAAACCATGATGCTCCCTCCGCCATGTTTTACAGTGGGGATGAGGTTTTGATGTTGGTGTGCTGTGCCTTTTTTTCTCCACACATAGTGTTGTGTGTTCTTCCCAAACAACTCAATCTTGGTTTCATCTGTCCACAGTATATTTTGCCAGTAGTGCTGTGGAACATCCAGGTGCTCTTTTGCAAACTTCAAACGTGTTGCAATATTCTTTTTGGACAGCAATGGCTTCCTCCGTGGTGTCCCCCCATGTACTCCATTCTTGTTTAATGTTTTCCTTATTGTAGATGTGTCAACAAAAATGTTAGCATGTGCCAGAGATTTCTGTAGGTCTTTAGCTGACACTCTGGGATTCTTCTTTACCTCATGCAGCATTCTGCGCTGTGCTCTTGCAGTCATTTTTACAGGACAACCACGCCTAGGGAGAGTAGCAACAGTGCGAAACTTTCTCCATTTGTAGACAGTCTGTCTTACCGTGGACACATGAACATCAAGGCTTTTTGGAGATACTTTTGTAACCCTTTCCAGCTTCATGCAAGTCAACAATTCTTGATGGTAGGTCTTCTGAGAGCTCTTTTCTGCGAGGCATGGTTCACATTAGACAGTGCTTCTAGAAACCAGTAAACCCAAAACAGGTGTGTGTTTTTTAAGGGCAGGACAGCTGTCAGCAACACATCCAATATCATCACACTGATTGGAGTCAAGGTTGGCTCACTCCTGGCTCCAATTAGCTCTGGGAAAAGTCATTAAGCTAGGGCCTCACATACTTTTTCCTCCCTGCACTGTGAATGTTTACATGTTATGTGCAATTAAACCATGGCAACATCTAATGTTTGTGTAGTATTATGTTCAGCAGACTGTGTTCTTCTATTGTTGTGACTTAGATGACGTTCAGAGCACATTTTATGCCCAATTCATGCAAAACTCCACGTAATCCCAAGGGGTTCACATACTTTTTCTTGCAACTGTAGTTCACATTAGATGCAGTTCAGTGTGCTTTTTTTCTGCATCAAAATACATGTACATTGTTTTCTATGTATTCCAATGGCCCTAGTTCACACCGGTGCAGTCAGTTCCCGATGCAGGAAAAAAAAGTAGAACATGCTGCATTTTTTCTGTACAGAACCATACTGGAAAATCACAAACTGCATCAAAACTGCACCGGAACTACGTGTGGTGTGAACTGTAAACAAAAACATACCCGGAGTGCATTTTTATAGTGTGAACTGGCCCTTACAATAACCTGCTGCTTTGCCCTGCACGGATAAAAGACAGCATTTCTTTAACCACTTCCCGACCGGCCGTTTCATATAAACGGCCGGACGGTGGCAGTACAGGGTCGGGTGGCCGTTTCTGAACAGCCTCCCCACACCCTGCTTGTGCGCGCTCCCTGGGAGCGCGCAGCACACGCGATCCGGTGCCCGCTGTGTCCTCCGGACACAGTGAAACACCGATCGTCGAACGGGACCTCTGTACGAGGTCCCGATCATGTGATCACTGATTGGCCAATCAGTGATCACATGCAAAGTAGTAAGCAAG